GGGATGCATTAACAGGTGTATTGTGAGCAAGACACGAGAAATCATTCTTCCGCTCTACTCTGCGCTGGTTAGGCCTCAGTTGGAGTATTGTGTTCAGTTCTGGGCACCACATTTCAAGAAAGTTGTGGAGAAATTGGAGAGGGTCCAGAGAAGAGCAACGAGAATGATTAAAGGTCTAGAGAACATGACCTATGAGGAAAGGCTGAAGGAATTAGGTTTGTTTAGTTTAGAAAAGAGAAGATTGAGGGGGGACATGATAGCAGTTTTCAGGTATCTAAAAACGTATCATGAGGAAGAGGGAGAAATCTTGTTCATCTTGGCCTCTGAGGATAGAACAAGAAGCAATGGGCTTAAACTGCAGCAAGGGAGGTTTAGGTTGGACATTAGGAAAAAGTTCCTAACTGTCAGGGTAGTCAAACACTGAAATAAATTGCCCAGGGAGGTTGTGGAATCTCCATCTGTGGAGATATTTCAGAGTAGGTTAGATAAATGTCTATCAGGGATGGTTTAGATAGTATTTGGTCCTGCCATGAGGGCAGGGGACTGGACTCGATGACCTCTCGAGGTCCCTTCCAGTCCTAATATTCTATGATTCTATGATTTTGAACCAGCTCTAATTATCTTCTATATATTTGGGAGAGTTTGTGCATCTGTCTTTGTGTGTGTTCATCCATCTATGAGTCCATTTGTTCAAGAAGTCTTCCTAACTGGTAAGATCTAGGACCACCAAATTTGCAGGACTCCTTTTGCCCCATTCCATCTAACTTGTCCCTGACCCAGTCTTTTCTCTTATCCCTCCATTGGCTCTTTGCCTACTCACATTCTCACCTAGCCAAGGCCACTCTGTACTCATCAGGGTTTGCAGCCTGGTCATAGTCTCCTTGCCCATCAAGTCCTAGTTTCACCCCTCCAAACTCCCCCTCATGCCTTCTCCTCTATGTTCTCTCCCACATCATTTCTTGGGTCTTGCCTTGTAATGTCTCTGTAGTATCCCAGTCTCAGTCTCCCTTATTGGGCTCATCCTCCAATCTGTGCCCCCTCTAAGTCTCCCAGTCTCCTTGGCCAACCAGTTCCAATCCCCCCACTATTTAAATTCCTACTACCAGTTTTCCTCATCAAAAAGTCAGTCTCCAGCCCTCTCCCTAACCCCAGGCTCCTTATCTCAATTTATTTTCCCCACCTCTTCTGTAGGTCTGCTTCATTTTCCTCCTGCATTCAAGTGCAGTAGCTTTCTCCTCTGTTGTTCCCTGAACCAAAATAGGGGAAGATCATTGAGAATACAGTTTGGTGCCCAGACCTGGCATGGCTTGCAGCAGCTCAGAGTTGCAATTGCAGGGAAAGTCCAACTCCTTGTCCACTGTGAACTGTAACATGCTCCGTGCACACAGAATTGAAGAAATCTTTTCTGAGCATGCGTGAAGAACAGTTTTTCAAAAGCCTTATAACTTGGCCAGATTTAGTTGGATTTTCACAGAGATGGCAAAAGGAATATCCCTGACCCTAAGGCCATCCTTTGTTGAATTTCAAGTTGCTGCTTCAAAACATAACACTTTTCAAACAGAGTCAGCAACATTTTTTAACGCGGGCAAAATAATATATTTTCCCATAACCTTGTTCTCAGAAATGGTAGAATTATTTTAGCTGAAATTTTCCAAAAAGAAATTCAGCCTGAGCTAGACACCCAGTAGGGAAATTTTCAGGTTTGACAAAATCATAAGCAGTTGAAAACCTGGTCTTATAATGGGAAGTGCTGTCTGGCATTTATTAGCTAGGAGACCAGATCACAAAAAGCCCTCCTTTAGTCACCTCGGTTAGTATTAATTGGCACCTCTGAACAGTCTACACAGAAAAGATCAAGAACTCAGTGCCATGAAATGTGATGTGCCTCCTTATGTCCCTCAGATCATGGCTGAGGCACAGTAGCAGGGAAAAATGGTAAAGGCTGATCTACTGTGCCCATCTGGATATTTTATTACTTCTTCAGGATTGTCTATTTCAACAACACTAATTCAATTGAATAATAATCCAACCCCCCTCCCCCTCCAAAAAAACCCTAGTAATCAGTTTACAATTATTTTAAAAAAAAGCCTACTATGCTATAAGTGTGATGAAGAAAGATGGTGAAGAAAGTTATTAAATTCATTTTTTAAAAATTAGAGATTGGACTGGACCAACGTTCTATATCCAAACCATAGACTTGGATTTGGATTCACAGCTTGAATTTCTTTCTAGAAAGAACTGAATCCAAGAACTGATGGATCTTTGATTTAGACTCAGATTTCAGTTGCATCCTATTCCCCAGGTTTGGGACCTGCAGTTTGAGGATGTGTCTACGCTGCATTAAAAACAAACCCTGGCTCTGAATCTCTGAGCCTGGATTCTAGCCTGAGCCCAAATGTCTGAACTGCAATTGAATAGCCAGCCCCATTTGCCTGGGTGAGTTATTCCAAACCACTTGCAGCTGTGATGTGAATCATTTATTGCAATGTAGACATAGCCTTAGGGTCCAAACCAATGTTCATTGAAGTTAATGAGAGTCTTCCTATATTGATTTCAATGGCTATTAGACTGGGCCTTTAGTTTTACTTATTCAGAGGGTACATAGGCCTGATCTAGAGTTTTGGTCCAGGTCCACTTTTTGTTTCCTGAGAGAAAGTATATATTACTTAAACATTAAAATCCAGCCTCTGCCAATTATTACTTAAGATCACTTATTCCTTTATTACATTCATGTTAGACTGTGCAAAAGAATTCAAGGATGCAGAAGGTCATGCTTGAGATGCTTTGGCAGAAGAGACTACAGATTCCCAGCTTTGCCTCTGAGTCATTCCAGTCAATACCATCATTATTCTGTGTTAATTTATACCAAAAATTCCATCCTCAGTGTGTCCTCAGTTAACATGGTATCTCGTGTAAAGGAAATAAATGATTATTTTTTCAATGCTTTGGGAAAACTATCACTTTAGAAAACCTATCATTTACATTTTTAAAATTTATGTCTACTGTTTGGCTTTAATCACAATTTAAAATATATGCTGTGCTAAGTAATAAATACAGCACTATAGTCACATTCTATTTCAAATTAAAATGCACAAATTTAATGACTCTTCTGCTTAGACCAATTAGTCATGTATTCTTTCTAGTCTTTATAAGGGCAAGACTTAATCAAGCATATAAATTACTAGTGTCCATCCTTCAGAGAAATGAACTGTGTTAAAATTCAAGCAAACATTTTCCAACTGTTCATACAAAGGGTTGCATAAGACAGTCATTGTGTTGCTACAAAACTTTCCCCATGATTTGCTGCTGATCAGCATATAGTTCACTTCTTTTCCTCCAATTAAAAATTGCAAACAGAAAAGCTTTCCAGCACTAACAGATCCACATGTCCCCCATAGATGTGGAGCGTCACATGTTTCAGGAATGGCTAGACCCACCACTCCTCTACCATATAAAAGCAATGTCAATCATTGTGTCTCATGTTTAATAGATCTCCTTCATGGTTCTAATTTTGCCATTAGGAACTTAGATTTCAGGAACTTTCCTTTTAGTATAGTGTAACCAATAAAGATGGATCTCCTTCATAGTAATGGTGTGCTTATAATTCAGCATTTACAGAAGGATTACAGGTCTTACCAGGACTTTCTAAATTTCATGTCACATGTAGGAGATCCCCGGAATATATTTTTAATTTATTTTCCTCTTTGGTTCCAGCTTAACCAAATGGTTGGTACTAAAATGATATGGGTGGCAGTCATTGGAGATTGGTTCAACCTCATATTTAAATGGTAAGAAGTTTTGTTTCTTTAAATAACTTCTATTTTTTTGTGATACAGATTCTTAGCTACTTCAAAAGTAGAATACTTCTTGTAACCTATAGATTTACCTATGTAGTTTTACCTATTAAATATAAAATACAAAACGTTTCAACATTCATTGTTTACTAAATGAGGATGTATTTACAGAGACATTTTACTAAGTGAAGAAAAAGAGCATTTATATGACTATTCTAACAATATCATATAGCATAAAGTGAATTATGCTTTGTTTGGACTTTTCTACTCAGGGATCTGTTTATTGTATGTGTACAGTATGTGCTTTTTTCCTTTTTTTGTTAGGATTTTATTTGGCCATCGCCCATATTGGTGGGTCCAAGAAACCATGATCTATCCCAATCAATCGAGCCCATGTCTTGAACAATTTCCTATAACATGTGAAACGGGGCCAGGTAAGAAATGTTCGTGGCTTCAATGTTACGCAGTTATAAGTATTACTTCAATAAGTAGCAGTGAGTGATAGTGATTATACCGCAAATTAATGCACCCACTTAATGAAAAATACAGCATGAGGGCACTTGAGCTCAGTTTTGAAAGAGCATCAAGATATGTAAGTAGAAAAGTAAGAGAGAACCTAAATGTTAGTTGTGTGATAGGTACTTCCATGAAGAGCCGAAACTAGCTTGTCTGAATATTGGCAAGAACTTTTGTTTTAATGCCGTTAACCTTTGAAGGACATCAATTTTAAAATTATAGTTATGACAGGTAGCAATGCTGGAAGACTGTTCTTCCAACAATTACGCCCCAGAAATGTGGAATCACCTTTGTGTGAAGTCATTCTTGGACGTAGTTCTGTGACACTCCCCAGAAGTTTGTTGAAGGTAAGTAGATGCCATAGATTTGTTTTCCTAGGTATATCAAGTGAGCAGGAGAAATATTTTTATATCCAAACATATACATAAGTCAGTGCTGTCCAAGAGAATTCCAAATTAGAACAAGTGACTCTTAGGAGTTTGGGGATTTCTGAGCTACTATAGCAATTTTAGAGCCACAAAAGTAATACAAATTTGTGATCCCTTCCCTGATATTTAAACATCTAATTCCACTATTCTTCTCTACCCTGAAGTTTGTTTTTTATTTAAACTAAATAGCAACATCCATCTATGTTATTACTAAAGGGAAGCCTGAGTTATCTATTCAGGCTAGAACAACCCACTCATCTCAAAGCTGTAGACTGACACAAGGGAATACACCATATATGTGATGTCGTGTATGTTATATAAATGTGTTTTCACTGGATTGTTTCACTCAGCACCCTTCCGCTTCTGTTTTTATATTCTTTCCTGAGTGGAATGTAAATCAAATATTGCTCAAGTCTCAAATGAACTTTTAAATCCATGAAGTCTGAAATTAAGCAAATTAAGCCCAGACATTCTTAATCTACACTGGATTTTACATGTTTACACAGCTTTAATTAAGGTGCCCACAAAATGCATTTTTTCCAATATATGAGAAATGTGCAGTAATTTTTATTAATGTGTTTTGCGATTCTACAGGCTTTCCTATGGATTGAAGTGTTGCACATTTTCCCTTTCTGTAAGAAAGATGCTGCATTATAATTTACTCTAACTTTGATGAAGTGGTTTGAGCCCTTTTGTCTGACAGCTTGTTTACTACTTTATGTGAGGACCTGTTATTAACTCTTAAGATTGTTCACTTGATCATGAAATCATTTGGGGTCCAACCCAAGCTACAGATAGCTTCAGCTCTTTTCAAATGATTTCAGACCTGAGGGCACTCAGCCCATTGCAATATTGAGTCCTTGGTTAGGTACAATTAGTGTGTTTCCACATGATTAATTGGAATAGAATGCCTGTTTCTTCTTGTTTAAAAATAAACCATTTTATTTATTCAGCCTTTTCCAAATTTGTTATGTAGAATGTTTAAAAATGTAGTTTAAATGAGAAGACTAGAGTGGAAGACTTTATACATTAACATGAATATTTAAATGAGCAAAGTAGAGAAAATAGTAAACAAGATAAGGACTGCAGATAGCTTGAACTAAAAACCTGTATCTGCACAATCTCAAATTTTGGGGAAGAGATTCTGGAATTTGAACTTGGATTTGGATCTGAATTTTGCAGTGAGATGAACCAAAACTGAGACTCCAGTGAGATGAAACAAACACTCTAAAAAATATTGGAAGAATTTCAAAATGTGGATCTAAATTTTAGGCCTCAGACCAACCTCTAATACACACAGTACATATGGGATATGATAAACACTTTTAGATTAAAAGACTGATAATAGCAAATAAAAAGTGTTTTCAAACACTGAAGTATGAGACCATAAGTCGGTTTAACCAATAAAATGAATTATAACATGTAGAAGGTCCATACAAGTTCCTTTTGAAAGAAAGAAGGAATGATGGAAACATGATCAAGAATCTCTTAGCCAAGTCCAGAAAAAGAGGCATAGAAATCAACACCTTTGTGAACTACTTCTGTAGAGATTGGTCAAAACATTTTCTTAAGTGAAGAAATGATTTTCACTGCCTCAAAAATGATAGTCATTGCAGAGAAGCTAAATGAATTATTTGCTTCAGTCTTCATGGCTGAGGATATTGGTTGATTCCCAAACCTGAGCCATTTATTTTAGGTGACAAATCTGAGGCATTGTCCCAGATTGAGGTGTCATTAAAGGAGGTTTTGGAATAAATTGATAAATTTAAGAATAACAAGTCACTGGGACCAGATGGCATTTACCCAAGAGTTCTGAAAGAATTAAAATGGGAAATTGCGGAACTATTAACTGTGATTTGTAACCTATCCTTTAAATCAGCTTCTGTATCTAATGACTGGAAGATAGCTAATGTGATGCCAATATTTAAAAAGGGCTCTTGAAGTGATCCTTACAGACTGGTAAGTCTAACGTCAGTACTGGGCAAATTAGATGAAAGTATAGTAAAGAATAAAATTGTCAGACACATAGATTAACATAATTTGTTGGGGGAATGTCAATATGGTTTCTGTAAGGGAAATCATGCCTTACAAATCTACTAGAGTTCTTTGAGGGTGTCAACAAATGTGTGGACAAGAGAGATCCAGTGGATATAATATACTTAGAGTTTCAGACAGCCTTTGACAAGGTCCCTCACCAAAAGCTCTTAAGTAAGTTACGTAGTCATGGGATAAGAGGGAATGTCCTCTCATGGATTGATAATTGTAGAAAAGACAGGAAACAAAGGGTAGGAATAAATGGTAAGTTTTAAGAGTGGAGAAAGGTAACTAGTGAGGTTCCCAAGGGTCTGTCCTGGGACTAATGCTATTCAACTTACTTATAAATTATCTAGAGAAAGGAGTAGACAGTGAGGTGGCAAAATTTGCAGATGATACCAAACTGCTCAAGATGGTTAAGACCAAAGCAGACACCGAAGAACTTCAAAAAGATCTCACCAAACTAAGTCATTGGACAACAAAATGGCACTTTACATTTACCAACATTAAATTTCAATTAATATACATATAAGAACTAGGGGTCACAAATGAAATTAATAGGCAGCAGGTTTAAAACAAACAAAAGTCACTCAGCACATAGTCAAACTGTGGAACTCCTTGCCAGAGGATTTTATAAAGACTAGGATTTTAACAGGGTTCAAAAAAGAGCTAGATAGATTCATGGAGGTTAAGTCCATCAATGGCTATTAGCTAGGATGGGTAGGAATGGTGTCCCTAGCCTCTCTTTGTCTGGAAATGGATGACAGGAGAGGGATCACATGATGGTTACCTGTTGTGTTCCCTCCCTCTGGTGCATCTGGTATTGGCCACAGTCAGCAGACAGTATATTGGGCTAGATGGACCTTTGGTCTGACCCAGTATGGCCATTTTTATTATGCCTACAAAATAAATCCTAAAAAATTTTCTACCCTTTCGATGTCACAAGAAGTCATGATACACCAGTCTAACATACACAGTCAAATCCTCCCTCTGTCTGCTTTCCCCCTGTCTGGGTTTTCCTGTGGTATGATGGAGTCCCCAGAGGAGTTAGAGCCTGCATAGTCAATTCTAAACCATTTTTCTGCAGCCCTTCGCCCAGAGGGCATGTTGAAACTGGCGATGGGTGTGTCAGAATCAGTGATATAAGGAGTAGGAGTGGCTGTACCATATTGCAGTCTAGCTATATTCAACTGCTGGATGATTTTTGAAGACTATTCTGAGAGACACCTTTAGGCACAAGCCTCTAGCCTCTGCATTACTCATGCCTGTACAAGGCTGAGGACCAGTGAGAACTAGGAAACCATAACCTCCTTCCACCAAATGTAATGAATGTAATTCTGATGAAGCAGAGAATCCAAACTCTGGTTATGTAGAGAGATTTACCATAGTAATTTTATGAATGATTTCACCAGCAGTATTCCACTGGGGTTAGATTTGTGATCAGTTCTGAATCTCCACATTGTCTTCAGTATGCTTGAGAACAGCTTCTGTTAAATTTGAGTAAATCACATGGCACGCAATAAAGCATTCGATATTCATAAATTTGTTTTTATTGAGTCCACCATTTCTTGCACTACTATAGAGCAATGTTAGTTAATTTCAAAATATGTTAACATTGTTTCTTGGTAAGGGATCTATGAAAATCTTTTCAACACTTTTGGTACTGTGTCAAACTGTACATAAATAAGCCCTTTCCTTCCAGCATCATTGAAAAGACTCTCCCACCCCCTTCTTTGGAGGATCTACAGAAAATATAGCTTCCTAAATGAAAAACCAGATAAAAATAACTGAGAAGGGCTATCTGATGTTTGAAATTGCTCTAGTGTTTTTTAAATTGTATTGATACAAGGAGATCATTCCCTGCTTTCCTCATGTATCAATATATACCTATCTTCCATTTTTGCTGTATTCTGTATACATTGTGCTGTGTCTAGACTGGCAAGTTTTTCCGCGAAAGCAGCTGCTTTTGCAGAAAAACTTGCCAGCAATCTACACTGGCCTCTTGAATTTCCACAAGAACACTGACGATCTCATGTAAGATTGTCAGTGTTCTTGCGGAAATGCTATGCTGCTCCCGTTCAGGCAAAAGCCCTTTTCCAGAAATGCTTTTGCGCAAAAGGGCCAGTGTATACAGCTGAAAACTGTTTTGTGCAAAAAAGTCCCGATGGTGAAAATGGTGATTGGGGCTTTCTTGCGCAAAACTGCATCTAGATTGGCACAGACGCTTTTCCGCAAAAAGTGTTTTTGCGGAAAAGCGTCCGTGCCAATCTAGACGCTCTTTTCCACAAATGCTTTTAACGGAAAAACTTTTCCGTTAAAAGCATTTGTGGAAAATCATGCCAGTCTAGATGTAGCCTGTGGCTCTGTTCATAACAGCAATATAATCCGAAGTTCTTTTTCTTTCTATCCTGAAGAAGCTATCAGACTTACATAAAATTACTTCCCTTAGGTTAGTATAAGGATAGGCTGCCTTCCTAATATCCATGTAATTTTTGGTTATGAATTATGCCTGACATGCCAAAAGCCACCATAACTGGGGGTCTAATATTCATAAATCAGTATCAAGTTCAAGAAATGTTAGCCTGTTCTTCGCTGACAACGTTAGTCTTGTTGCTCAAGATGTATTTGTAGCTATGTGTGTGGAGGACACTTCATTAGGCACCATCATCTTTGTGGCACCTTTATTTTCAGCAAAAATCAGTTTTGTTAACCTATTTAACATATTTTCCTCTCAGCATTGCAGCACATGCCAATTTAAAATCTGTATGTCATCTATTGCTGCACTTCTAATAAAGTTTCTGGAGAGACTGTGAATAATTTCTCTTCATGTAGACAAGACAACTTGATCCAGCTTTTGAAAATCATTAGGGTTTCTATAGGCGTTTTTTACTGCTTTAGGTTCATTGAGTGTTTGAATAATAATTCTTTTTTATATTCCAAACTTGTATTAATTATTTTTAAGTTAACATATTACTTTTTTTCTTTTATCAGGAAGCCCATCTGGCCATGCCATGGGATCTTCTTGTGTCTGGTATGTAATGGTAACAGCAGCACTTAGCTACACAGTAAAATGGAAAGATGAATCTTCAGTTACTCTGCACAGGTCAGTCTGTTGCTGATATTCTGAGACTTTTATTTTGATGGATTTATATAATTTGTTGTGTTGAACATTATTATAGCATATATTTTTAAATCGTTCTGATACACTTGCCTTTTAAATTGTTAACATGTCTTCATTCTTACTGGTTTGGACAAGGATTTTGAATATAAAAGGAGTTTTATATTTTTCTTTAGGGTGACATGTAATTAACTCATTGCTATTGGATTAATGTATGAGCCCAGCCTCCCACTGTGGGAGTGGGACAGGACAATAATGTTTGTAATCCTGATTTATATTCAGTGCCTTTCTTTCAATGTACTGGTTAGTACATTAAATTTACCACTTTGGGAATAGTCATTCATATTTTATTATAAAGAAAATGCACATAGTATTGGCACAGGCAGCATGATGCTTAACTCTGTATAAGACATTATGCTTAGTTGGACTTTTAACCAAGGTTAAAAGGATTGTTATTTGACTGCATGAATCATGAGTTTAATTATGCCTTAATGATGGAAAACATGAAAAAATACATCTGCCGCTTTAGCTTTCCATTAATATCTTACAACAAAAATAAGCATCTGATTTTATGTCCTAAGTATTAGTGTCTTATCCTGCAGTCTGGGTTGCAAGATCATACCATTATTCTTCCAGTTTTATTCAGTATCTAGCTCCAGGTTTTGATCATCTGACTTTAGATTGTTGAATTGTACCCCTGACAGCTAAAAATATGGGACCCAGATGAATGACACACAATGAAATATAATATTTGGAATTTTAAAAATTTAATGTATACTGTTTCTTTTTTCTTTCATAGACTTACCTGGTCATTCCTCTGGAGTGTGTTTTGGATTATTCAAATCAGTGTGTGTGTGTCTAGAGTATTCATAGCAACACATTTCCCACATCAAGTTATTCTTGGAGTAATTGGTGGTAATATTGCTTATTCTTTGCAATATAAATACATAATCTGAACATTTGTTTAAGTTTAAAAACAAGTCATAGGTATTTAAAGGGCTTTTTATCCTGTGTCTCTAGAGCTGCATGTGATTTCTGGGGAGATAAGGGTTTAAATATAATAAATAATAATAATAATAATAATAATAAATATGTATTGTATATTACTGGGGCATATAGAAGTCCTAATCAAGGACCAGGAGCCCATTGAGCTAGATGCTGTACAAACATAGAACAAAAAGATGGTTCCAGCCCCCAAAAACCTACAGTCTTAATATAATACTAGCCTTTAGGCCAGCAGAGATGACAGCCTTTGTGGGCCCCTGAGGAAGGTGTGGGGGGCTAGCTTCATGCTCCCAGAATGGGTGGGGATGAGGGTGGAAGAGGTGGGCATGAGGGCAGCCATCTGTCAGCATTGCCCAGAGTGTGGCATGGCATGCGTCTTCCCTCCCCTCCAGCCCTTAGTGCTGTCTAGAGCACACAGCCTGGCACTTCAGTGCAGTGCTCCAGAGGCAAGTGCAGCAGTAGTTGCCGGAACTCTGGGCTCCTTTGAATTGCCAGACCCCCAGGGCAGTTGTCCCCTTTACTCTCTCCCCACCCCTCAGTTAAGCAGGCCTGCTTTAGGGTAACAGTTTCAAAAGTGCAAAAGTGTTTTAGGAACTTAGTCCCATTTTTTTAAAGGAATATAGGCATTTGAAAGCCTAAGTCTCACTGATTTCCTGTGAGACCTAGGCTCTTAAGCCTCGAGTCAGTTTTAAAAATGGGATTTAGGCACTTTTGAAAATGCTTCTCTTAGTCACTCTCTGATCTTAGAGCAGGGGTGGGCAAAAGGGCCTCCACAGACCAGATCTGGCCCACCAAGTGAATTGATCCAGCCCGTGAAGGCCCTGCCACTCCCCTCATCCCCAGGCCAATCAGGGCCTGGGGGCGGGGAGAAGCATGTGAAGTCTCCTCCCACTCTGCCCCTGCCTTGCAAGGAGTGTGTGACTTCCTCTGATTGGCCTAGGGGCAGAAGGGGAGCATGCGAAGTTTCTTCCTGCCTTGCGCAGGGTGCAGCGCTTCTAAGCACCGCACGCTCCTTCCAGGATGGGGGCAGGGTGGGAGGAGACTTCATGTGCTTCCCGCTGACCCCAGGCCAATCAGGGCTTGGGGTCAGGGAGAGTGCATGAAGTCTCCCATCCTGCAAAGACTGCTCAGCTGGTAGTTGATGGGGGTAGGGAGCAAGAGACTTCACGTGCTCCCCCTCCCCAGTTCCTAATTGACCTGAGGGCAGTAGGAAGGAGCATGCAAAGTCTCCTCCCACCACCAGGGGCACAGGTACCTAGAAGGAACTGCCAGCTGTTCAGAATAGATGGCAGTACTTTCGGGAAGGGGTGGGGAACAGCAAAGACTTTGCGCACTCTCCCATCCCCAAACCAGTCACGATCTGTGGGTGAGGAAGCATGGAAGTGTCTTGGCCCCACCCCTTCTGGGGTCACCCAGAGCCCTTGGTCAAAAATTATTGCCCACCCCTGTCTTAGATGGGAGCATTGGTTCCAGGAACTCCCTATGCTACTTTCCATATGCAAATTAGCATGTTTAGTGCTGAGATGATGGTTTAAAGCTCCTGGGATCCATCTCTTTTTCTATTCATGGTCAGGAAGGGGGATAGTGAGGGAGAGGGGAAAAAAATGTCCTCCTCCAGCACCCAGAAATGGGGAATGACCAAGAACATAGGTAGGCTTGATTCACCCCTGTGAGAGGAGGGGGTTGCAATTTGCATCTCCCTCTACTCAAGATGTAGCATCTGGAGGGTATGAAAAAGGAGACACAGACTGGTCCATTTGGGTATGTTCATGCAAGGTTTATTAGTGAAAAACTACATGTCTCTTTTGAAACTATGACTCTTGGCATTTAAAGTGCCGAAGGAGATTCATTATTTTGACTTGGCAGTTTTGAAGAAGAATGAGGTTTTTGAGGGTACTATAAAGTGGAAAAACCAAACATACTCTTTTTCTTTAAGAGGTCTAATTCTGCTTTTAATGGTAGGCCCTACAAAACAATTTTTTTTGCAATGTCCAAGAGCACAATGAATGCATCGTCTAATATTGCATTTCTAATTCACAGGAATGCTTGTTGCTGAAGCATTTGAACATACTCCTGCAATCCATACAGCTAGTTTGAGAACATACATCAAGACAAATGCGTTTCTCTTTATCTTTGCTCTTGGCTTTTACCTGCTTCTCAAACTTATTGATGTTGATCTTCTGTGGTCTGTTCCCAAGGCAAAGAAATGGTGTGCCAACCCAGATTGGATAAATATTGACACAACTCCATTTGCTGGACTGGTGAGAAATTTAGGTGCACTCTTTGGTTTAGGTCTTGGGATTAATTCGGAAATGTTCATCATGAGCTGTAAAGGTATAAATGGATATAAAATGAGTTTCAGGCTACTGTGCATAGCTGCTTCTTTAGCAGCCTTGCAGCTGTTCGATTTTATCAAGTTACCTACACATACTGAGTATTTGTTTTATGTTCTTTCTTTTTGTAAAAGTGCAGCCATACCTCTTACTGTAGTTGCTTTGATTCCATACTGCATACACCTGTTAATGAGGCCAACTGAAAAGAAGTTAAATTAGGTGAACTTTCAGAATAGTCTGAAAGAATGTGGGCACATCTGGATATAAGTAGTGGTCTGTGACCCACTGCAAAGATCATTATTTTTGTACTCCATTCTAAACAGAGGTGGGTGTCACTATGTGTGTGTTTTTGCTTTTGGTAAATACCATGTCAAAAGACAGTACATCCTGAAATGACACTGTCATGTCAGAATCACTGATTGACTTGCACTTTGACTTCATTCCCAGAAGTATTGCAAAGATTGACAATGCAGTATGACTGTCTAACACCCCTCAGAGTATGTACATGTTTTGACGCTTGTTGGGATTAGTCCCAGCTTGTAGTTTTTTTTAGTTTTTGTACACTTTCACTTAGATGGTGCTTTATCTCCCATATCATTCCACTTTCAATTTTATATCTACATATAAATGCTGCCTATTAGTATGCTGGAAAATTAGGTGTGATAAAAATCACACTAACTCAACTGCATGAATGTAGTGTGATGAAGCTTTCTCCATAGTTCGCAAAACTTTAGATTTAATTTAGTGTTTTCTAAATGATGCATCTTCTGACTGAGTCAGGAAAAAAGAATAAATTATTTTTTAAAAGATTAGTGTTAAACAATGTAATTTCAGGCCACTAGATTCTATTTCTAGGGCTATCGACAGAGCAGATAACTTTGTATTGATATGTTGCTTTCTGTATTTTTCTTTTAAAATTAGCTAAATGCAAAATATTGACATGAAGAGGCAATAAATTCTATTTACTAAAACTACTACACATTTAACTTTATGGAAACTCTTGAACATAGCACATTAAATCAGTGTTATTTGGGTATGCATCTACACAGAGTAACTACTGTAGAAACTCATTTAGTGTGAATTCATGTCATCTCAACACACCTCCTAGTGTGTTATGCTTGTTCCTGACTTTCAAATGTAAACCAGTCTAATAATCTCAATTTAAAGAGTACCCAACCACAATCATGATTTAGTGGTGGAATTGGTCAAGATAATTCTTTGTTGCCATAAATGAAAAAGCAATTCAAGAGTAAAACATGCCATGCTTATGTTTGGCCAACTTTGTTTGGACAACCACAAAGATAGCTGTTATAATATAGTATACGTTTACTATAATACTCATTTGTGAACTGACGGGGCTGATTAATCTGGCACTATAATTATGTAAAACCAATTATATCCCTTTGTATATATTTTAATGCATTTCTGTCATTGCACATTGACTTTCTAAAATTCATATCCCATATAATTTCTGGGTGAGGTACCTTTTTAGAGTACAGCTAAGATATAGTATATTGGTGCCTCTCATAGGGTTTTCAGACTCCATACTAAGACCGAGACGGGGCAAAGGCTGAAGGAGCACTGGGACTGTAAGGCCCCATCCCTTAGGTACTTTGCCTAGGGCTTAGGCTAGTTTACCCTTATGGTCCCTTCTAACCCGATGGTTCTATGATTCTACTTACAAGCATGCTCTTGGGGAAAGGACTAGGCAGGAGAGAGAAAAGAGGGAAACCATTTCCTGGAGAAGCACTTCTTTGCAGTGGCAGAAGAAACCTCTACTGAGGGATTCTGGCTGCGAGTCCTCCCATCCTGACGCTACCCAAGGAGAAGGTAGAACCAGTGACAATGGTACCATAGAGACACAAGCATTGGAACAATGACAATGATGAGAGTTCAACTACTTATCCTCCTTTCCCCACTTCCTGTGACCATCAAGAGTTGTGGGGGGTGGAGTGGCAGCGCAGTGCATTTTGTGTCACTCATTCCACCTGATGCCCCATAACTTCCTGGAAAATGGAGCCCCTCCCACCTTGCCCAGGGGCCTGGCAAGTTTGTCAGACCCCTTGTTACTAGCTAATTCAGACACTGTATCTACTGCTTTTCAGAGACGTGAACAAATATCAAGTTCCTACTTGAACTGCTTTATATTCTGTCCACAAGTATATGAAAACATCCTAAAGACGAGAAGGATGTACAATTTTGACAGATATGCATGAGAGCTTATTATGTCTGAACTAAGTGCTTTACTTGGCTATTTACAAAGCATTTTCCTCTGCCTTGATGCAATGTCAGTAATTTAGTAATCATCTGTGACATTTCAGTGCAAAGTGAATGAATACCAACAAAATCTAGGCAAAACTTCATGGACATCCGTCAATAGTCAGAAATAAAAGAAAAGTGCTGGGCACTCAAATTGCAGTGCCTGAAAGGCTTTACTTTATAGCCCCAAATCCTTGAAATACTGTTTATATCACAATAGGAGACCTTTTGGTTTCATATTTCAATATTCCACCCATATTAACTGTGCTTTCTGTACAATTAGAACAATGAGATAAGGGAATTCTCATTTTATTTTTAGCAATGTGTAAGTAATAAATTAACCTATTGGGCAGAAAGAGGTTATTTCGTGAACCTTATCTTTTTTTGCATTAGGAATTTGATAAATATGGAAATCATTTTAATTATCCTAGGAGCACTTAATATTTGGGTCTTTCATGAAAAGAGTATCTGTGACACTGAACAGCAACTTGTCTTGGTTCTAGAAATGGCAATTTTTACCAGTGAATGCACATCTAGTATTGAGAACAGGCCTCAATGCATAGAAAGTCAGGAATGAAGTACAACATACAGGACATAGAAAGTCAGGAATGAAGTACAACATACAGGAATAATCCACAACATTACTGTCTTCCAAGTACTGATACATGTACTCAGGTACTCTAATTAGCAAACATAGCAGATTCCAAATACTTACTTGCCTATTTATTGGATTTGTGTTCAGCTTAGGAGAGTACAAGACGGGTTTTATGCATGTCCCTACCACCAATGTCAATGTGGTAACTACACTGTAGTTACAATGTGAATGAAAAATAACTTTGGTTATACCTGTTCTGAATAACAAGGTCTAATATGCTTACTTTGGTTTGTAACAGTGCACATAGTAATATAACAAGAATGGAAATTTTCTTACCCAATCATTTTCATTCTTCTAGCAGCATCTTCCACAACCGTCAGACATATATATGGGTTATTTCCCTCCTGTCTACAGTTTCTGGAGGCAATTTAAAGCTATAGAACAGGGATTCCCAACCTTTTTCGGTCCCCGTGCCCCCTTGGCTTTTAGTAAACCTTCCCGTACCCCTTATTCAATATGAAAGGAAATAAATTCTAGACTCTAGAATCCACAACTTTTTTCATTAACACTACTACTTTAGGATAATCTAGTTATTTACCAAATATTCCCCATGCCCCCTTGACAAACTTCTCGTACGCCCTGGGGGGGTACGCATACCCCAGGTTGGGTACCCTTGCTATAGAATCACTTGCTCTAGGCATGCTTCCTTTCCAACCTACTGCCAGTAGATTCATTCCAGAGTGGTGTAAAACAGATTCATGTCAAGATTATTGGTAATAGCTAGATTATTAATGAACCACCCCAGACACCATTTTCTTGCTGAAGGAGTCCTCTGTGGAAGACAGAACATAGTGTCTAATAAAGGTGTTATCCGATATCCCTGTTTCTGCTCTGCAGATTTCAGCAGTGAAACAACATGCTCTTTCAGTCCCAAATCATAAATGCACCTTGATTCCTTCTGGCTGTTTTGTATGCCTCAGTAATACATAGTCTGATCCATTTGGCCAGGGACAGCTAACATATTCTAATGCCCTGGCATCTTGGGTGAAAGGAAAAGAACTGAAAGCCTAATCTTTTTGTGGATTCTGTACACTTGATATCATCTTTGGTACTTACTTGACATCTAATGTGTGACATATCTTCCCAGTGAGTCACTCTGATTTTGGACAGAATGACGGAAGAACAATCTGTTGAGAGGCGTGAAAAGAAGAATTTAGTTTAGGCAGGAACATTTCTGGAGTTCTTAGCATCACTTTGACATCATGGAATATACAGTAAGGTTTCTGCATGGTTAAAAGTGTGGACATGATGATGACCAGAAAACAGGTTTGGATGGAGAGGTAAAATGGTAATACAAATGTCAGTGATTCAAAAGGATGGAGGTTTAGGGCTTTCAACACCAGTGGTAGATCCCATTTAGGGAAAATTTGTCTGACTTTTCTGTGGGACCTGGAGTTCTCACTCAGGTAACTAGAGGATCCTGCAAATAGTACACTAATGAGGACTGACACCTTGAGTGCTTAAAAAACAATGAATAGTTTTGAAGCACCTTAGAGACTAACAAAAAATGTGGATGGTATCATGATCTTGAGTCCTGTGCTGCTTGGCTCTGAATTTGCTGCAAATGCACAGGTTCATGACAAACACCAAAGTCAATTGAATGATTCTATCAATTATTCATTTGGGTTCAGAAATAGATGCGGTGCAGTTACCCATCATTTGACAGATGCCACATGATTTAGAATTTGATATTCATGCTAGTCAAGAGCAGGAACCCAACAATGGTTCAATGCCTTCTGTTCTTGTGCAGAGGGATCCCTCCATGAATGAGATCACAGATCAGATGCCTTCAGGTCTTTCTGCTGAAAGTATGGAGCCATTCTCCGGCATTTATGCGAGATCAGATTCTGGTCCCAGATCAGATGATCAACTTCCTAAGATAGTGAACAGTCCCACACAATGTCCTTAGGTGTTTGTCATTGTTCTGTGCACTTGCAAGAGATTCGGTGCCATGTCTTGTTAGAGGTCTGATTTAGGTGCCTTCCAGAGGTATAAGAGAATTCCTTGGGATCTGAGTAATATATTCCACAGCATCTTTGTTTATGACCTGGGACTGATGATAGGCAAAATGGCAATGTTCGGTACTGATAGCAATCCATGCCATAAGCAAATCTCAGTAGCTTGTCTTGGCAAGGCACAGTGGAATGTGGAGCTATGAGTGCCCCAGGTGATGTGTGTGTTGGTGCCAACTAGCAGGGGACGCAGGACTGCTTGAGGGTTACTGGAATTCCCTGGATCTGATAGCTTCATAGTTCACCAAAAGGTATCATGTAAGGACTCTACTGAAAGCCTGTATTATCCATGTCATCATAAACATTGTACAAAGTATGTATAGGTAATAATTAAGAAATAATGTATCTATACTGGAAATGTATGTTCTTAACCCTTGATGTTTAAAGCAGGTCACCATGAGGTGACCAGCTTTGACTGATACTGGCCAGGCAGGATGGAAATGGTTCTCGCTCTTTGTCTGGTCAAGTGTGTCTCAATGTAAGTCTATGTGGTTCAGAGCCAGATACTAATTAAAAGGTTGGAAGGTTAACAAGCAAGGGAGACTAGAGGGAAGAAGTCAACTGGGGGCATGCTGATTATGAAAAAAGATCAAAAGAAGCTCTTTCCACTGAGGAGTCAAGAGGATAGTGTAACTTATCTGAAAAGTAGAAGATCACAGCTATACCTGACACTAAGACACTGGAAGACTTTTTGGATGAGCTTTTGCTCTATATGCCATATCCACGTGTTGTTTAGGCTAAAGAGAGCATGTTATTTTAATTTATATGTAACCATTTGTTTCCTCTGTTTCTAGTCGCTACTTCTTAAATAAACTTCTGTTCATATTCTAAACATATCTAAGTGTCATATGTTGAGTGGTGAGATAATCCCGAGGCCCCTCTGGTAAACTGGTGTGAACTATTCCTTTGGGAGCAGTGGATCTGTGAATTCTGTTAGTGCCAGTGAATCAGGCTGGATGTTCCAAAAGAAACATCCAGTGGGCTCTGGGGTTGGAGTGTGCCTGTAAAGAGTGAGGCCTTTGAGACCTTACCTTCTGGATGAGTTTGCCCTAGTATGGTTGCTGGAGATGGGAGAGTGGATGAAGAAGGGGTGAAGTGGAGACCTTAGCTTGAGGGAGTATCCCTGATGCACTCATTTGTCTTTGGTGGATGCAAACTGTTCATTTGGAAAGTGAGAAAACTCAGATCTGGGTGGAGTACATTCATTCACTGTCATAAGGACTCCATGGATGTTGTGGAAGCACCTCTAGGTTATTCACTTGTTCCTTGATTCCAACGTTTTCCTTTTCCTTATCTGTTATCTCACCTCTGAAAGCTCTGAGAAGAAGGAAGATGAAAAGCATGGGTATCTGATAGTCAATTTGTAATCCCTTATTCGAGAACTAAATGAAGAGCATAAGGACAGTTTAAGTTTGGCAGTTTTCAGCCACTATCCTATCCAGTTTTTCTTTAAAAAAGGAGAGACCCTGTGAATTAAGAGGTGCCCAGAACTCATCTGTAATAAGTATGTTTCCTCCATGGATGAAGTCCTGTATGCCTCCTGACATGAATGCCTTGGTCTTAACAGAAAACCTCACCGCATCTGTTGAAGCATCTGCCACAAATGCTGTTATTGGGGAACTTTCTTGTATACAGCCCTAAAGATGAATTGCCCTCCTCATTTTTTGAGGAAGAACGGCTCTTGTGCAAAAGGGGGTATTTGCGCAAAAAGGCGCCGTCTACACAGCACTTTTTTGCTCAAAAACGTCTTGCGGAAAAGGAAGAGGAAATGCAAATGAGAGCATTGCATACGCAAATGAGTGCTCCATTTGCATTTGCTTTTCTGCATGAGGCTTGTAGGATAGCAGTAGCCTGCGACAGTGAATGGGGGAGGGAAAGCATTGATTCACACAGAGAAGTTTAAACTAAATAACCAAAATAAAGAAAAATACCCTGATCATAACTAGATACACTTTTCCCTCTACTCATGATACATGCTGATCTGTACTTCACTCCCATGTCCAATATTTTTTATAGGTATGGTAATTCTGATCCCTGCATCTGTTCTCTCCAGCCCTTTTCTTAGAAATCCCCTCAAAGGAAGAGTAGACCAGGTATCCATATCCGATTCAAATTTCAGCACTGTATCCCCATTGGTTCTTCTGGCCCCCTGCCAACACCCTTGCCAGCTACCTGAGTTTAACCCCCTAGTCACTGGGTACTGGTCAGCACTCTTCCTGTCCATCACACCAGTGCTTTGGAGAATAGGGTCATAATTCAAAATGACCTGGACAAATTGGAGAAATGGTCTGAGGTAAATAGGATGAAGTTTAATAAGAACAAATGGGAAGTGCTCCACTTAGGAAGGAACAGTTTCACACATACAGAATGGAAAGTGACTGTCTGGGTAGGTGAAGCAAAATGTAGGACAATGTAGCACTTTAAAGACTAACAAGATGGTTTATTAGATGATGAGCTTTCGTGGGCCAGACCCACTTCCTCAGATCAAATAGTGGAAGAAAATAGTCACAACCATATATACCAAAGGATACAATTAAAAAAAAGAACAAATATGAAAAGGACAAATCACATTGCAGAACAGGAGGGGGATGCGGTGGGGGGGAGGGGGAAGG